TTCATTGGTTGCCAGAAAACCATCCCAACAACAACTTTCATCAGCAACATCTAGAGTTGTTTTGCAATGCAAGCAAAATCAATATAAATTCTTGATGAATCAAACTTTCAATAATACAACAATTAAACGTTCATATAGCGAAGCCGCTGAAGAAGAGGAAGATGATGAAACTAAACTCAGAAGACAACTCGCTAACCTTCCAAAACCTCTCCTAGACCCACTTATCGTTCCGAGAAGAAGAAGAGGAATAACTGTGGAATCATTTTTAAAGAATATCGGTAAAGGATGCGAAGAACATGTAGATAAATTTACTTCATGGGAAGATTTGTTCACCTCCAAGTCTCTCAAATTGAAGGTTAAGGAAATACCAGTTGCCCAACGTCGTTGGATTTTGAAATGGTTGGAAAGATATAGAAAGGGCGAAGTTCCAGGATATCCACAAACCTACTTGCATTAATTTCTCAATCTACAAAAGTAGTGTGAAATGTGTTAGTTGTTGCTGTTTACTTTGGATACATCTCTCTCTAATTATTATTATTACTTATCATCATCGGTATACTACTGCTACACCATTATCTCGATTTTTTGAAAAAAAGCTTTAAGGCAATAAAAAAATACTATTTAAAAATTAATTATTCATCATAATTATTATTATTAAATAGATTTATAGTTGCCATTTTAATTTGATTTAAATTATTATTATTTCAAAAAGAAAAAACAATAATAGTAAAATTCTATTTTTAAAAACTTTAAAAAAAAATTTTATTTCAGTGTAGCTGATCCCAATAGGATCATGAGGTATTATCTTGAATTAAGAGAACATGAGTAATATTTTCTGTGTGCTTTACCAACAAGTAGTGATAATAGACTTTGAATTTCATGCCAATTATCAATGATTTTAGGATTATAGGATTTAACTAAAATAATATTTAAAGCCTTAATAAAGCCTCTATGATTTAAATTGAGAATTGAATTGTGTCTATCCCAAAAGGTATCATGGGGACGAAGCTTACAAACTTTAAAAAAAAATGAATGGTAATAACAGACCAACAAATGGACAAGTGATGAGTGATGACTTGGAAGAATACTCGGAAAATCCATGTATTGTAGATTTATTTGATAAGAGAAATAAATTTCTAACGGAACAATCACTAGCCGTGGATACTACAAGCCTACAATCTGAAGTGTATGGACAAGATGTTCAACGTATTGGATGGGAAGTTAGTATTAAGAAGTCCCGATCAAATTATAGACTTGAAAGAATGAAGACGTATGATAAAGCACTGGAAAAGAATGCTGATGAGAGTAAACCAATTGGTGATTTGTGTGATATGGAGAGTAAATTACACTTTCCGACAGATGAAAAATGTTGCTTTTATTCGTTTAAATCAAATTCTAGACAAACACCATGCTCGTTTACTCACTTTCAATTGAGACATATGATAGCAGCAACTTCGCCTACTGATGTATATTATATGAATGATAATTCAATTCATCATTGGAATTCTATAACAAGAACAACTCAACAAGCTGATGGAAAATTATCAAATTCGAAAGTATCAATGGATCTCAGGAAGGGAAAGGGAATTGTAAAGGATTTAACTTATATGGATTCGGAAGCTTCAGGAATTTTAATATCAACACTTAATGCTAATTACCCATATCTGGTAGCTGGTGGATTTAAAGGAGAAATTGTAATTATGAATTTAGAGAATGATGGAGAGGTTATTTACAATAACCGAATATCACACTCTGCCAACTCTATAACAAATTATTTAGATTTGAAGGGAAATTCATTGTTAGTGTCAAGTAATGATGGGTTTGTTAGAAAGTTTGATCTTCCTACAATGGACATGATTTCAGCAGTATCTTTTGATTATTGTATCAATAATTCAGTGACTCAGTCAAAGAATGGTAAATTAATGGCATGCATTGGAGATACTTATGAAGTTGTTGTTTGTGATCAGGAGG